TCACACTGACTTGGGTTCCAGTTCTGGTTTTGCCATTTACTAACTCAGAGATGCTTCATTCTTCTGTGCCTCAGTTTCTTCATCTGTAAACTGGGTATAATAATCACAGTACTTACTTCCTTACAGGAACAAATATTGAGTACCTGCTATGTACCAGGCACCATCCTAGGTGCCGGGGACACAGCTATGAATGTAACAGAGGCTCCGCCCTCATGGAGCTTACATTCTTGAGATAATGAATGTAAAGCCCTGAGCACAGGCATTGGCTGTAGTCGAGAGCGTTGACCCAGGGGCCCAGTGGGAGATGAGGCTGGAGCCTCAAATGCTATGGGAGGGTCCAGCGAGCAGCCCAGCTGCATGGAGGCCTGGCTTGCCCAGCCCCCTGGACCTCTGCCCTGTACCCGCCTCAGGTACCAGCGGAAGTGGGATGAGCTGGCTGTGCAGGAGAAGCTGTTCCGCCAGGAGTTTGAGCAGTTGGCCAATAACAAGAAGGAGATCGTGGCCTTCCTCAAGCGCACGCTCAATCAGCGGGTGGATGAGATCGCCGACCTCAACGAGCAGCTCCAAAGTCTGCAGCTGGCCAAGGAGATGGAGAAGGACGCCTTCGAGGCACAGCTAGCCCAGGTGCGTCATGAGTTCCAGGAGACCAAGGACCAGCTCACCACTGAGAACATCATCCTTGGTGAGGGGCTCTGGCAGGCGAGCCTGGGGGCACACGCCATGGGCACGGGGACTCCCAAACTCTGGCTCTTTGGGCTCAAACCCTAGCTCTCCCACTATCTTTGTGACCTTGGGCAAGCGCTTCTCCCTGACCCTCAGTTTTCTCACCTGAGAAATGGGATAATACACCTATCTTGAGTAACTGCTACATGCTGTTTCCTACACATACCTTCTGTAGTAACTGTCCCCACAATCCTGCGAGGCAGGCAATACTACCACCACCTGCCACTTTGGAGGTGAGGAAGCACTTCAAGAAGGTGGGGTGTCTTGCCCAACATCACCCAGCTGGCAAAGGTGGTTTTGAGTTTCAATGACAGCGTTGAGTGCCTGGCCCAGAGAAGGTATTTAGATACAGTGGCTGTTGTCACTGTCACTTTCATGAGGGGGGATGTCAGAGGGAGGCTTCTTGGAGGAGGTGGAGCCTGAACTGGGCTTTGTAAGACTAGTGGAGGAGAGGAAGGGCATTTCAGACTAATTCATAAAGGTGGGCAGGACTATGCACAATAGGTGTGTGGACAGGGGTCTGGCTCTACTGGATCGGTAGGTGTAGGGGGGGGCATGGCTCAAGGCCCCTGCTGCCCCCACCCCCGGGACCCTACCCTCCCATGGCAGCCCCTCACCAGGCCTCTGCCCTGCGGTGGGGCAGGGGGGAAGCTGGCAGCCCTAGAGGAGTTCCGGCTGCAGAAAGAGGAGCTCACAGAGAAGTTCACGTTGCTGGAGGACCAGCTACGGAAGCAGGAGAGTGAATACAAGGACTACGTGCACAACCTGGAGAAGAAGTCGGTGCTGGACAAGGACAGGTACACAGGTCGGGTGTCAGGCGCGGGAGCCCCACTCACTGGGGCCAAGCACAGCCCCGTCCTCGGGCCTTCAACAGCCTCAGCATCTAATTAGGGGGACTGCACTAGCTCACTGACACCCCAACCTGCTGTTCCTCACAATCCTGGCTGACTTACAGGAGGTGGGATAAAAGGCAAGCTCCTAGCTCCAGTTCTCAAGCCGGCATTAGAGAATCCCTGGACTTCCTTTGCCACTTTTTGTGGCTTAAATTATATTTATTTAATAGGCAACAATACATTGATATTGTCCAAAATTGCAAAGGTACAAAGGACCTACAGTAAAAACCTCCTGACTGTGCCCCTGGCCCTTGGGGGATAGAGCATAAAAGGGCCCTCAGTGCTCTGGAGACCCCCACATAGGCAGGGGGTGCCTGAGGCCTGCGCCCACCCCCCCACTCCCCCCCACCCGGATTAGACTGAGGAAGGAAATCATCCAGCGCGTGAACTTGGTGGCTTCCGAGTTCCACAAGGTGGCCAAGAACCAGATGTGGGACACGACGAAGCGGGCCATCATGGAGAATAACGCGGTGACCCTGCAGCTGACCAAGGTATCGCGGCAAGGCATGCAGCTGCTACAGGAGAATGAGCAGCTCAGAGGCACCCAGGACAACTTGTGCAAACAGCTGGAGCTGCTCGAGAACTCCCAGAAGGTCATGGCCAGGCACAGCAAAGGCCACCAGAAGGTGTGCCCTCTAGGCCCTCATCACGGGGTGTTTGGCACCGAAGGCAGGAGGGAACCCTAGGAGCCTTGCCCTTGAGGCAAATACAGTCCAGCAGGGGTGGATCAGAATCACGAGGGAGGCAGCAACAAGGGGATGGGGCCCTCCCTGGGGGGCTCTGGCCACATCTGGTTTATATTTGGTCTAAAGCCCCCATAACAGGTTGAAGTGGGACCCAACTCTGGGGACCCAGCTGCTGCTAGAGAGATGCTGGGTTCCCAGGGCCTTGGCTGGCCTCTCTGTCCAGCGGGGCAAGCCCTCACTGAGTCCGGAGCTGGGGGAGCGGGGCTGGGCTGAGGGTCGATGGCAAGCCCAGGCCACGGCCACCTGCCACACTGCAGATCATCCTCATGCTGACGGAGAAGTGCCGCGAGCAGCAGCAGGGCATGGCGGAGGCCGAGCAGCTCCGCCTCCTGCTGAGCCAACAGGAGCAGGGCCTCCTGCAGCTGCAGAAGGACAACCAGGCACTGAGGTGCGGCCTGCGGAAGGGCGAGCGGCGGGAGCAGGTGGGAACCCATCCCTTTATGGCCACACGACACGGGCCAGCGACTTCCCCTCTCTGGAGGGGCGTTGAGGCTTTGTCTGTCAAACAGGCTGAGGTCTGGGGCTGGTGAGGGCCCCTGTGGGCTGGAGAGAAAAGGCAGGGCCCATCACCCTAGAACAGGGAGGTGGCTGACTTGTCCTAGTCCCGGGACCAGGAGCCAGAGAGACCAGATGAACCTACAGCTGGAGCAGCAGCAGGCCGAGGTGCAGTGGCTACAGCAGCAGCTGACAGAAGAGCAGAAGGCTCGGGCAAGCCTGGAGAAGGCCCTGGCCCAGGCCACCTCCTTCCTCCGGGACATTATGCAGGTGAACTGGAAGTGGGTGAAAGTGGAGGGCGGGTGGGGGTGAGCCTAGGACAGAAACTGCTCAGAGGTAACTGGGCCACTCAGAGATGGCCAAGCCAGAGGCCCCATCTTCCCCTGAGAGACTCCTGGCAAGTCTGTCTTTTTCTGATTCTGCACTTCAGGGGTCCCTTCGAAGTCTCGAAGGAGCTGGATGGAGTCCTCTGAGGCCCTGGAAGGCCTCAGGTCTCAGCCTTCTCATTAGGAGAATGGGTATCCCACCATAGCCAGCAAACGCTTTGAGGAAACAGGCCCTGGGGTTAGGGTCTCCCAGAGGTGGGTGCTGGGGCCTGACTTAAGGACCTGGCCCCATGGGCCCACCCCTACCGGCAGATGCAGCCAGACAAGGAGGATGGTGACTTCGATGTAGTGTTCCAGCTGCAGCGCAAGGAGATGCTGCAGCAGCTGCTGGTGATGCTCAGCTCAGCCACGGTCCTGAGCCCCCAGATGGCTGTGTGTTCCCATCAGGAGAGCCAGCCCTGTGGCCCGCACAAGGAGAGGTGAGTGAGTGACCCTGTGTGACTTCAGAGGAAGCAGCTGTGGGACTTGTCCAAGGGCTGTCCTCAGCTGAGCCTGGGCTGGAAATCTGGCTCCCCAGAGCCTCTCTGAATCTCAGCTCCTTCATCTGTGAAATGGAGATGATGACACCACCCTCTCCCCGCAGACGGTCCAGGACCCAGCCACTCAAGACTGGGTCTCTGCTGCAGCAGCTATCCAGCATCACACCCTACCAGCTTGGGGACCTGGGCCTGGTGCCTCGACGGATCCACATCCCACCCAACCCTGAGGACCTCAGGCTGCTCTCACACACCACCCGTGTGGGAAACTTACAGGCACATGGCAGCCTTGAGGTGAGGGTGCCAGGGGCCCCAGGGACAGCAAGATGGCAACCCTGGGTGCAGATCATGGCTATACCATGCTGTGGCTGTGTGGCCCTGGGGATGTGGCTGGACCTCTCTAAGCCTCCATTTTCCCATCCGTAAAATGGGCTGAAGAAAGGTGTGCCAAGGCCTCAGTGGGATAAGACATGCCCACACATCCCCTGGGATAGGGGATTGCTGGACCTGTGGGCCCCTCCTCCAGAGGCAGGGGAGAGGTGGGAACGCCCTGAGGAGGCCTCAGCTTCCAAGTGGGTACCTTTATTTTTACAGATTCACACCTCTGGTTCTCCAAAAAGGTTCAAAAAGTTTAGTCTTCCTGAAGTTTCCCTACTTTCTAAGTAGGACACAGAGAGACCAACCTCCTCTCCTAGAAATGGACCGTTCCCGCTATAGTTGCTCCCTTCAGTCCACAGGTGGCCTGGGGACAGCCCAGAGAAGAGTTATATAAAAACAGATATCACAGGTCAGCGTGGCACGTCTGTGGATGTGGGTGGGCATGTGGGCACAACAGGCGCAGGCAGGCAGCTGGGTCCACTGGCATCAGGGGCCCAACGAAGGCCCCTGGCTCCTCTCACGGATGTGGTCCAGGAGCAGGTCGGCGGCGCGCTCCAGCAATGGAGGCAGCAGCTCCTGCTCGGCGGGGGAGAAGCGGCCCAGCACATGGGCCTGCACTGCATCCGGGTGTGTGGGGCGCCCGATGCCCACCCGCAGCCGTGGCATTGCCTGTTGGGGAGCCAGAGGGGCCCAGGGAGCTTTGGTGAGGAATGTTGGGGGCCCTGTACCGGCCCACTCAACTCAGTGCGGGACAGAGGGGCAGACTCACGTTGGAGTTGAGACAGCTAATACAGGAACGGACTCCATTGTGGCCCCTTCGAGGGATACAAGAGGAGTAGTCAGTGCTTCTTTGGGTCAGTGACCTTCTCCCCATCCCATGCTGAGACTGGGGTCGGCACCCCTACCCTGCTCCAACTGGGAGGCCAGCTTCCCTATCCCACCCTGCCCAGCTCAGGGCCTCACCTGGCGCTTCCTCCCAACTTCAGAGCCAGTTTCCCCAGCGGCTTGTCCAGCTCATCATGTACCAGGTAGACTTCCTCAGCAGTCAGCCCGAACAGCTCCGCTTGGCATAGGGAAAGGGTAGCCCTGTTTACTGCTGATCTGCCCAGGGGGGGTTGTCCCTATTCAAGGTTCTCATAAGGAAGGGCCCCAATTAACCCCACTTCATACATAAAGAAACTGAGGCTCTCACAATCACCCAAGGCCAGACAGAACCTGGAGCTCAACAGGCACCTGGAGCTCCAGGTAAACCCAACTGCCGCTCCCCAGAATCCCCTCTCTGGCCCCTGCACCCTCCAGGCAGCCCACCCCTGGTGCCCTCAACTCACCGGCCCGGGCCACGCTGCGCCCGTTGACGTTCATGAGCCGCCGTGGCCGGAGAAGGACCAGCTGGGCATCACCGAGCGAGGCCAGGGCGAGGTCGGCGGCACAGCGCCGGTCGCGCGCCCAACTCTCCGCCACACCCAGCCGCCGCGCCAGCTGCCCCAGCACCGCCATGCCCACGCTGTGCCGCGTGCCGGGCATTCCAGGGTTCCCCAGCCCGACCACCTGCGGGAAGCACCGGGGAAACTGAAGCCCGATAACTCTACCCATCCTCTATCTCACAGCGGCCTCCGGGGCCCAAAGCAGAGGAAAGTAAACGGAAAGCTGGGCCGGAGTGTGTTAGGGGCTCCAAGAGCGAGCCAGGAAATCCCGGAGACTCCAGAAGGCCGAATGGAAATTGGAGCCCCGCAAGGTGGAAGGGTAGGGCGCCCCAGTGTAGGAACGGAGTTCCTGGATGTTTGGAAGCCCACTGAAGCACTAGACCATTTGTAGATAAGAAAACTGAGACAAGAAACTGGGGGGACTTTGCCAAGGAAACAATGGCAAAACTGGAGCTAGGACCCGGAAGCCCCTACGCCGTCCCCAATTCCACTCACCAGCCACCGCTTCCCCGGGGGCCGGGGTTCCAAAATGCATCGGCTCATGGCCCTACTCAGCCACAGCCCCGTGTGCGAGAGGCCCGGCTGCCCCATGCTGCCCCGATTCACGGCCGGACCCCGCCCCCTGACGTCAGCCAGCCCTCAACCAATTGCGGCCGCCACCTGTCCAGGGGCGGCAGCCAGCGCCAATCCCAGGCGGGCCACGCGACCGCCATGCTTCTGAGGGGCGGAAGTGGCGGGGTGGCAGCGGTGTCTGGGCGTCTCCGCACATTCCGCGGCGCGGCGTCAGCGTGTTCTGCGGCATTTGTTGTGGGGCTCGGGGAGCCTTTGATTGACCTCTGGATGGGGAGGAGGGAACCTGGTTCTGGCCCCAGCTGTGGCCCTCCTTCGCTGCAGAAACCCGGCAATTTCTTTCGCCGGGGTAGACCTCGACCTCCCCAGCTACTTAAAATTTACTAACCTCCTTCCCGCTGCGTTTGAGATTGGATTCCGGGGATTGGATTCCTTGGAATCCGAGGGCGTGGCTAGGGGGCGGAGCCTGTGGTCGTCTCGGAGATGGTGCCTAGCAACGTCACCCATCAGGGCCAGGAGGCAAGCGAGGGCCGTGAGGGAGCCGGCCCAGGCCCCCGAGGTCCTCCTGGAAGGGGCCTCATGACAGACTCTAGAGAGGTGCGTGAGAAAGCTAAAGCGAAGGCAGAGGGTCAAGAGAGAAGAGACCACGTCTGGGTTAGCAAGAAAGGTTTTAAGTATGGAAGAGGCAAGATCAGTTGTGCAATTCAACAAAGTCCCTGGCCGCTGTGCAAAGAACAGAGGGTTTAGAACATGTAACTGGTGGGGAGGTCGGAGGGGTGGCCGGAGCTGGCATACAGGCAGAGACGGGATTGGCCCAGATGAAAGGAGAGAAGAGGAGGGATTTAAGAAATCTTTAGGAAGTGAGGTAGACAGGACTTAAGGACTGGTGGGACACAGGTCTTTGGCTTGGGTGGTTGATGGAGAAGGTAGACTAACTGCCGTGGGAAAGCCTGGAACAGAAGTCAGGTGAGATGCTCAGTTTGGCGTGGTGGGTGTGAGGGTCCCACAGGATGTGCAAGAAGCTGCTGGTCCCCTAGGGCCTGTGGCTTAGGGCAGGGCCTGGGCTGCAGACAGTTTTGGGTGTCAGTAGCTGGAGGTAGAAGCTGAGGGCAACCAGGAGGAGAGCAGAGGGCTGTGTGACCGTGAGACCTTGACCATAAGAGCAAGAGGCAGGTCTGGAGAGAGTTTAAGGGGAATGGGGCTGGGAGTACCACCAGACCCCAGACTGTGCCTCCTGCCTCCCCATCCTGTGAAATACCTGTGCGTGAGGGGAGTAGGGGTTGTCTCTGAGGTCTGCTCCAGCTTGCTGTCACTTGGTTCCAGGATGTTCTGTGGCTTGACCAGGCTCCCTCACAGCACATCCCAAAGCCATGGGTGATCCCAGTCCTAAAGGGGACCCTACAGCGCATCTTTGGGACCAGCCAGGTGTTCCAGAACTTTGATGATATAAAGCCAAAGTCCACGGGGTTAACAGTGCACCTCAAAGTCAAGGAGTAGTGAGTGACTACCTCATTCTGGGGTCCCAGTTTCCTACCCTGTACAACCACTGACTGACACAGTGTGCAGCCATGGGCCAGTTACTCCCCCTCCCTGGGCTTCAGTGAGCTCAGCTGTATAACAGGGCTCTTCCACCTCAACAGATAAAAGGCTGCTGGCCTGAAGGAGCTCCAAGAATGCCCTCCTGTCCCTGCGTCTCTGTCTACCCCTCTTGTCTCTCTACCCAAGATCCACCCCACCCCACCCAACTCCCGAAGCCCCAGCTGTATGCCCTGGGCTGGCCCCGAGTCAGGGCCAGTCATTCTGCCTGCGCCCCTGCCCGCAGCTACCATCAAGGCCATCAGTGCTTGGAGCAAGAAGACTGGGAGGTGGCCGTGCTGTTCTTCTCCCGTGCCCTCCACCTGGACTCCCAGCTGGTGAGGGAGAGGGCCTGGGTAGGCATGGGTACTTGCTGGCACACACTTCCCCCTCACTATCCTACCTGTCAGTCCTCTCCTCTCAGGGCCACCAAGTCCCTGCTGGTAGCTGAGCGTCAAGCCTCAGGGCTGACTGTGGGGAGGGGAATGCAGCCTGAGTCCCCTTTCCCTCAGGTAGAATTCTATGCCTTAAGAGCCGAGGCCTACATCCATCTCTGTGACTTCTCCTCGGCTGCCCAGAACCTGCGAAGGGCCTACTCCCAGGCAGACAACACCGATTACCTGGAGCGGCTCACCTTTGTGCTTTACCTGAAGGTGCCTGGGGCTGCCCCAGGCCCACACAAGACACCCACCTCTCACCCCTGCCTGCTGGCTCCTCCCCCAGCTATGGGGGGCTTTCCTTGCTCCTGGGACCAGCTCTGACTCCCTGGGGACCTCCTTGTCTCTGTGTCTATATCCCCATCTGCTGCCCCTCCCATGACCTCTTCCACATCCCAAGTTGGTTTACTGCCAGGGCTGGGTTCAGTTTTGTTCAATAGAGCTTTCTGCAGTAATGATGATGGTCACCCATCACTGTCCAGTCTGGTAGCCACTGGCCACACAAAAACTGTTGAGCCCTTGAAATGTGGTGAGTGTGACTGAGGAACTCATTTTAAAATTGTATATAATATTAATCACTTTGAATATGTATAGCCACAGGAAGCTGGTGGCTATTGTGCTGGGCAGCACAGGCCTAGAGTCTGGAGGCTCTAAGCACTAAAAAGGTAATGGTGCCCTGCATTTGCAATGCAAAATAAAGATGATATTAAACCATAAGATACCAGCAAAGTCCTGACTTTTTTTCCCATTTTGACAAATTGGATGTCTTTGTTTTTAATGTCAATAATTATTCAATTATGGAAAAGAAACTTTCTTAAAACCAGACCACACACTTAATCTGTCTGTTGGGGTCCTGAGTCCAGTCGTGCTGCTTCCTGTGTGACCCTGGAAAGGTTACTTCACCTCTCTGAGCCTCAGTTCTTCATCTAACCTTGGTATGTTAGCTAGACCCAGTAAGATAACAAGTTCAGTTATTTAACACGAGGCTTGGCACCCAGAGCCCTGGTCCAGGCTGGAGACTGTTACTGTTAGATCTGCTGTTCTTGTCCACTTCCCAGATTTTCTCTCTTTTTCTCTGTTCCTATGTCGGTATTGCTGTCTCTCTCCCCAGCTATATATTTCTGCCTCTTGCTGTCTCCCCAGCTCTGTATCTCTCTCCATCTCTATGTCTCTGTCTCTTAAAATCTCTCCCATATCTAGAGGGCTCTGTCCCTGTCTCTTATCTCTGCCCGTTTCCCTCACCACCCCCCCTACAATGTTACCGCCCTCCATCTCGTGGGTGCTGCAGGGCCCAGGTCATAAGCAGAAGTCACTGGTCTCTGTGTCCCCAGGGCCAGTGCCTGTTCGAGCAATGTGCCTTTCTGGATGCCCTGAATGTCTTCTCGCAAGCCTCTGAGCTCCAGCCTGAGAAGTCCTGCTTCCGTTATCGATGGTAAGCGCCCTGGCCCATCCTCCTGGCCTTCGTTCTCCCAAGCAGCCCCTTCCTGCCCCTCCCACCCGGCAGACAGAGCACCTCCGCCCTCTGTCCTCAGCATGGCCTGTCTCCTGGCTCTCAGACGGCATCATGAATGCCTCTCCTTCGTCACCAAGGAGGTGAAGTATGGCACAACCAATCCCGATGTCTACATCCTCCGGGCCAGGCTCTACAACTTCTTCCAGAAGGTAGAGCGGGGAGGGCGGGGCCAAGGGTGGCCCCCTGCCTGTCTGGGTGCTGAGATTACAGGAGATGGCTAGGCTGTCAGCCAGCCCTGAAGCCACATCCCCAAGTGTGGTGGGGGCAGTGTCCTCCCTGGGCAGAGGCCCCAACCGCACTGACCACTCATGCCCAGTCGGTAGTTGTTCCACTGTCACTCAGCCCTGGCTCTGTGCCAGGCCTGCGCCTGCCCCAGAAACCGTGAGATGAGAGACCTCTGCCATCCCTGCCCGCACTTCCCAGCCCAAGGGAGCCGGCCCTAAGCAGATAATTACACAAAGAATGATTTTACAATTGCATGGAGCACCATCAGGGGCCCCCAGGCATCCATTAGATAGAAGACTGGGTCACAAGGGAGGAGGGACTACAGGAATAAGGTGGGGTCTTGTGAACCCAGGAGGACCCTGACTGCTTCCTGGGGACAGCAGGAGCTCCAAAGGGTGCTCCCTAGGACAATGGACTTAGGAAAGATCCTTCAGGCTGCCAAGGGAGATATGGGCTGGGGAGGGGGGCAAGTATGGAAACCAGTAACCTGGGTGCCATCCATCTGGAGAGAAGGGGGGCTGGGGAGTGTCCACGAGGGTGGTGAGGAGGGGGCAAGCCCCACAGACCTTTGAAAGCAGGACCAAAGACTGACTGGTGGGTGAGCACAAGGGAAAGGGAGGCACCCAGAACAATGCCTAGTGTTCCAGCTTAGCCTGGGTGCTAGGGGCCAGGAGGGGACTCAGGACAGGGAGGAACAAGGTGGGCCGATTGGATGGGGCTCACCTCAGCTCACCAGGTGGGGTGCCCTGAAAGTGCTGGAACCATGAACCTCCCTATGCTGGGAGTTGGGCTTCTGTGGCCCACAGATGAGTCAGTGGGAGGTCTCCTTCGAAGGGAGGCGACTAGTAATTATGGATGATTATTGTTGACTGTTGGGATTTTAGCTGCTTCCTGTGTTGCAAAGTCACGTTCTAAATGCTTTACTCATGCTTATCTCTAAGGTTGGCAGTAACCCTTGGAGGTAGGTACAAGCCATTGTCCTCTTTTCACAAATGAGGTCCAGAGGGCCTGGGAAACTTGCCCAAGGTCACACAGCCAGTTCTCAGTGGTGCTACCCTTGAACCAAGTCCACCTATTCCAAAGCCTTGCCCCAGCCTCTGCGATGTTCCCCCTCCCAACTTCTACTCATACCTGTTGTCCACACTGCCTCACTCACCCTCCAACCAGTTACCCTCCAGGACATGGGGTGCTTGCTAAAACTGTTTGTTGACTGACTGACTGACATCCCCACCCAGTGGAAGGCATTTGCCTGGGGATATTTTCTGCTCATGCCCAAGCCTGCATCTGCTCTTGGTTAGAGTTGTTTTTGGCTTAAAGGTCAGGGGAATGGAGGAGGGTGTACAGAGGATAGGGAGGACATGACAGTCACGGTCAGGGTACCAAATCCTCCCCTGACCTTGAATGAGCCTCAGAGAAGTCCTCCAAGGAGGAGGCATTTATAACCTCATTCTACATTCTGATCTGGCTCACCTGAGGTTACATCTGGAAAGGGCCAGTACAGATGGGGCCTTGGACGGGATTTTCCCACAATGCTTCCTTCCTCCTTCAAGACACAGAAGAGGCAGAACAGCAATGTGGGACCACTGAAGATGGGTGACATGTTGCTGGCCTGCCCAGAGAAGGGCCTCAACAGGGGCCTGCCTCCCCACCCTGGGCAGGACAGGGTTCAGCTTGGCCTGCACCGCTGATGCCCTCCCTGGCCCCCTGCAGCCCAACCTCTGCTATCAAGACCTACACAGTGCCTTGCTGTTGGACCCCAAGCACCCACAGGCCAAAGTGCTGCTCAAGGTGATGGTGGGCCAGGCCCAGCAGGCTCGCCAAGATGCTGGGATCCTGGCCGTGCAGGGCAAGCTGCAACACGCACTGCAGTGCATCAACTGTGCCATCGAGAACAACCCTCTAGACCCCAGCCTCTTTGTCTTCCGGTACTCGGTGGGGAGATGTTTGTCTTGGGTCCCAGGCCCTGCCCTGCTTCAGAGGTTCTGTGTGATCTCAGGAGAGCCCTTAACTGTTCCCAGGCCTCAGTCTCCCCACCTAGCCTCTAATAATCTTTCCCTACTCCTCACTGGGGTCCAGGGATCGTGGGAGGTGGTCTCTGCTACTGCCCCTGGAAGAAGGACAGGCAGCAGCCTGTTAACCCAGGAATCCTAGACCCCCAGGTCTGCTAAGCAGTTTACACTGGGAGGCTCAGCCCAGCTCAGTGGACGGGGCTTGGGTTTGAATCTAGGCCCCTTCCCCCAAAAAAGGACTCACCACCTCATTCTGGGCCATCTAACTTCATTAAGCCTGGGTTCTTTCATAAATACTGGAGGTGAAACATCTGTCCTGTGTACAAAAAGTCCTTAACATAAAGGCTGGCACACACATGGCTCCCAAAAACAAAGAAGGAAGCTATTTTTAAGAAAAGTAAAATTACCAGTGGCTAGCAGGTTCTCTGAGTGGCAATCCAGGAGCCCCACAGGCCAAACTAGTGCATGAAGTGCCCCCCCCCACCTCCGCAAGTCAAGAGGGCCCAGAGCCACAGCCACCCCTAGTCGATGGGGGCACTTTGGCCCTCATGTCCCTCCCCCATAGGGGCACCATGTACCGACGGCTCCGGGAGTTTGATGCTGCCGTGGAGGACTTCCTGAAAGCACTGGACATGATGACCGAGTCCCAGAAGGAGTTGGTGCAGCAGGCGCAGCGCCAACTGCTGCTGGCCTACAACGACTTCGCGGTGCACTGCTACATGCAGGGCGCCTACCAGGAGAGTGTGCTGCTGCTCAACAAGGCGCTCAAGGACGAGCAGAAGGAGAAAGGCCTCTATATCAACCGCGGCGGTGAGCTGGGTCGGGCTGTCTCGGCGTGAGCCCCTCATCTGCCTATGGCCTGGGCTCCTCCCTTGAGGGCCCTGAGGGAGGGAGAGAAGGCGGGAAAGAGGGAACACTTAAGAGTTCAGTGTCCCACAGATGCTTTTGAGAAATGTTGCCTTAGATAATCTGGCTATAGGCCTTCAAAGTGCACGGGATCATTCAGCTGGGAAAAGGTGCCCAGAGACACGGAAACCTCTGCGACAACCCACGGGTGCTATCAGCCGCCAATTGCAGGCCCCGCCCCCTGGGGGTGGAGCAGGCTGGGCTGGGGCTCCTGGGCCTTGGGATTGGGGGCCCACCCAGCTCCTGCCCCTGGTCCCCGGTCTCCAGATTGCTTCTTCCAGCTGGGCAACCTGACCTTTGCTGAGGCGGACTACCAGCAGGCGCTGGCGTTGAGCCCGAGGGACGAGGGCGCCAACCTGCGAATGGGTCTGCTGCAGGAGAAGCTGGGCTTCTGCGAGCAGAGAAGCAGGTGCGCGCGGGCTGTGGGCGGGGCCGGGGGCGGGGCGGGGCCCGGGCCTGGGAGCGTTTGGGATGTAGCCTCCTGCTGAGATCCCGGGGTTAAGATGTCGCTGCTCTCCCACGTAAGGCTCTTAAATATCGATGTTATTTACCAAGTTTTCACTAAAAACCCTTCACCTCACTTTTTCTCTATTGTTATGGTAATTTCGCTTTCAGTAACATATAACTCAGAACATGAAAGATCCTTCAAGTATCTACCTCCCAAAGCCTCCCCTACCCCTATACGTTTAGCGAAGATTCCTCCAGATTGATTTCTATGCATATATTAACAACTGCTATCATTTTACAAAAGTGAGAGCATGCTAAGCTGATCTTTTACCTGCTTTTTTACTTCCCACGGCATTATAGAACTACCTCATTCTCTTTTATTGTTTGAAAGTATTCCATTCTGTGGCAGTCCCACGATTAATGTCTTTAGACAACAGTCTACTGATGAACATTTGGGCTGTTTTCAGTTTTTTATTATAAATAATGCGGTAATGAGCACCCAGGACATATGTTTTCATGCATTCATACTAATAATGCCGTAATTAGATTGCTAGAAGTTAAATTGTTGGGTTAAAGAGTGTGGAATTTTAATATTTTAAAAGATAATACCCAATTGTTCTTTAAAAACAATGAACTAACATAAACTTCCCCCCATAAAGGAGAGTCTTGGTTTCCCCAAGTCTCCCTAGCACAAAGTATTAAGACTGTTTTTCAACTTTGCTAATCTAGTGAGCACAAAAAAATGCTTTTGCTGTGGATTGATTTTGCATATTTAAATTGCCATTGCAGTACAGCATCCTTCGTAAAGCCATTATGGCCTGCCCAAATATTTTGCTCATTTTGCTGTTAAATTGTTCATTAAAATAATCTTTTTGGTGATGAGTTCTTTGTAGGCTAGGAAAATTAGCTTATCATCTGCCCTGTGTGGCAAAATATATCTTCCCTCTTTACTGCTTTCCTTTGTGGTGTTTTTGCTACGTAATACCACAAATTAACCACAGTCAAATAATTTTTTTCATTTTTACCTCCTGGGTTTATGACATTCTCAGAAAGCCCTTCCCTACTCCAAGATTATAAAAATGTCCACTTACATTGGAGTTTTACACTAGCATTTAAGTGTTGGCCCCATCAAGATAGGGATGGTGGCAGGGAGCAGAGACCAGCCTGGTTTTGCCCAAACTCCCCGGTGAGGTCCAGAAACCTCCATCCCCTCAAGGTGGCCCAGCTCAGAGCAGCCTGTGGCCCACCCTGTCCTGCAGGCAGTTCCAGAAGGCAGAGAGCCACTTCTCAGTGGCCATCCAGCACAATCCCCAGAAGGCCCAGTACTACCTGTACCGTGCCAGGAGCCGGCAGCTCTTGCAGAACATTTTTGGGGCCCGCCAGGATGTTGCCACTGTCCTGCTCCTTGACCCCAAGCTACCAAAGGTATGTTCCTGCCGGGCCAGGAGAGTGGACTTCAGAGTCAATACCCCTAGCTGCCTAAAGATACTTCCTGTCCCCAAAAGAAATCTGCTTTCCTAGCAGTAGTAAGAGCTGCTGATGCCGGAGCCTTTTCTATGTGCCAGGCATGGTTCTAACCACTTCAGCTTGCATCTACCTGTTTAACCCTCTTCAGCAGGTAGCATTATTATCACAGAGCAAAGAGGGTAAGGCTCAGAGAAGTCAGTACCCTTGGCCCAGGTCATACAGCATGGAGCTCAGACTGTCATCTGGCTGGCTCCAGAACCCCTGGGCAGACTCACCACCAGCCCTCCCTCAGAGAATCTGATAGTTCTGGGCAAAAGGGCCCTGCCCTTTAAAAGTGACAATCTGTAACCCCTTCCTCCTTCAGCACAGAGAAGGGACTCTGCGAGGACAGGGCGGCTCCACACCTCTGCCCCCGTCCTGGCCCACACCTGACTCCGGTCACCCTCTTTCCTGGCAGGTGCTCCCGCTGATGGCCAGTCTTTTCCCTGGCATGTCAGTGGAGGAGGTGCTTGGCAGCCAGGTGGCCCACCTGGCCAGGTTGCTGCTGGATCGGGTGGTGGAGAGCAGCCTGCAGGCCAGCACCCCTCAAGATATCATGGGGTAAGTTTCTCCAGCAGGGCCCCCCAGGCCAGGGGAGGGGGAACGGCTGAGGCTCAAGGCGCCTCTGGCCCGGAATGCCTTCTCAGGCCACTGGCCAGTCCTGGGGATGGTGGAGTGAGTCAGGGAGGCCTACCCAGCACTCTGGGGTCTTGGTTGGCAGGCAGCTCAAGGAGCGGGAACTAGAGCGCCAGAAGGCCCAGGCCCTGTGGCTCTCATGGAAGCTGGAACAGCCCTTGTTCGAGACCTCCAAAGAGTGGGAGGCCACTCGCCAGTCCCTGCAGGCAAAGCCAGAACGCCCAGAGTTAGAGGCTGAGGCCCCTGAGGAGAAAGAGGTGAGTGGGCCACACGCCAGGGCTGGGTGCCCTTAAGGTCTGGGGTGGCGTGGACCCCAAGCCAGGGCTGAGGGAGGCAGGCAGGCTAGAGGCTGGCTTCTGGGCCCAGCTCTGCTACCACTCAGCTGTGTGACTTGGGCTGGGGACATCTTGCTGTGAGACAGGGATGGTACCCACAAGGGGTACACCTGAAGGAGAGCATGTGAGGATGTGGGCCCCTCACAGAGAAAGGCCTTCCCACCCTTTGTCCACCCTCACCTTCATGAATTCTGCTGTGTGCACTGGCCACTTGTGCGGAATTTTCTTCACTCTTAAATTCATTTCTAAAAACTTTTTATTGAATGGAACATAAATATAGAAAAGTACACAAATCATAAGTGAACTGTTGGATGAATTTTCACAAACCAAGTTCTCCAGATCAAGAAAGAACACATTCCCAGCTCCCCAGAAGCCCCTCAGGCCCCCTTCTAGGCCCCTCCCTCAGCTCAGTGCACCCCATGAGGCTGCTCTGATTCCTAACACCATAGATGAGTGGGCCTGTTCTTTCCAACGGAGGACAAACACAGCATGCCCTCTGCCTCTGGCTTCTTTCATTAAGCACCCAAGTTTGTGAGATGCATGCAAGCCGCCTGCTCCTTCTCATTACTGTGGACAGTTCCATCCTGTGAATACCCCACAATTTATTTATCCACTTGACCGCTGACGGACAGCAAGTATATTTGTGTTCAAAGGAGACTTTATGCCATTAAAATAAACGGGGTACTAGCATCTTTTGCTAGAAATGGAAAAAGTGAGCTCTATGTTTTCCCAGCTCACATTGGAATACAGAAGTACAGAACTTGAGTCTGTGTAACCAGCTGAGTCACAGTGGGCTCCCTCCCTCAGGGAGGTGTTGTGTCTGCCCTGCAGCTCTGCCGGCCCCCCATCTCCCTCCCATACATTCCCCTCACCTGTAGGTGTGGCCAGCAGCCAAGAGCCTGGGCTGTGGAGTCCCTGCTTCTCTGCAGCTTAGCTCAGTGCCCTGGACAGGCGCAAGTTCCCTCCCAGATGTGCAGGGGATGAAGCACATGAGGACAGAGAAGCTCCTGTTTCTCCCAAGCTATTCCCCAGGGTGTAGCCCTGTTTACAGACGCCTGCCCAACACCGGAACTAATCTGCATTTTGCAAATGGGGAAACGGAGACCCCAGCAGCCCCTTGGTGCTGCTTTCCTCACAGCAACACACCTGACTAGCCTGGCCACCCCTTCCTGTCCAACCTCTCCATGTCCCCATCCAGCCCTAACCTGCCACCCTCAGGGAGTCCAGAGCTGCGGCTACTGGCCCAGGGCCTCTGGCAGCCTGTGACCGCCCAGCCTGTCTCTTGCCCTAGGAGGAGAAGCTGGAGCCGGCCCCCAGCAAGGAGAGGTCCCTGACCGACAGCTATGTTGACCAGACCTCTTCGGGCTCCGTCTGGGGCTGTAAGTCCCCCTGTAAGATCTGAGTGAGCCGAAGCAGCAGGGCAGGCAACGGTCAGGGGCCAGAGACTCCTGTGGATTTGGGCTCCGCTGCTTACAGCTGTGTGACTACGAGACAGGGGGCACTCATCCCAGCCGTGCAGAGGGCACAGGGAGCCCTCGGCGATGCCCAGCGCACTGCCTGGGAGGCCAGCTCTCACTGCGGGGCAGAGTTGCTGCCCGCTCCCGCTTTAGTCCTGCCCCTTTCTCTCTGCCCCCTTGACCTCTCCCTGAAATAAGCCCACCAACCTTGTGCACAACCAGGGAGCTTCTACCCCCAATCCTTCCAGGCGCCAGCGTGGAGGGGGCAAAAGTGAAACACCCAGGAATGCTGCTCAGAGTCCCCACAGCAGCTGTGGGCGGTCAGGGGGAGGGATGGAAGCGGCAGCCGCCAGCCCCCTTCCTGCCATCCAGCAAATGCGTGGAGCGTCCCGGGGCTGGGCCTGTGCTGGGCGCTGGTTACAGCATGAATGGCACAGTCCTTGCCCCAGGGAGGAGCTCTTGGTCCTGAAGGGAAGAAGGCACACAAGGAAACACAGAAGCAGGATGGTGGAGACGTACTGTGGAGGGAAGTCTAGGGGGCTGTGGGTGCATTTAGCCCCCTTTAGGGGGTCAGGGAGGGCTTCCAAGACCCGGGGGAAGAAGGGTTAGCCGCGCATGGGAGGGGTGGAGCAGGAGCAACTGCTGTAGGCAGTGGGATAGGGCCCTGCAGGCTGTTGGTGGCGGCTGGAATGCAGAGGGCAAGGGGCGGCCAGCAGAGTAGAGGCCAGGCCTGGGCAAGCGGGACCCTCGGTATCTCCCCCTTATCTCACAGCCCTGAACCACCTGCAGGGCCCAGGGTGCCAGGAGGGCTGGGTGGACGTGATCTGGCAGGACTTCCCCTTGGCCTTGCAAGGCCTCTGGGATATAGGCAAGGGTGAAGCTTGGAAGCCTACCTTTCCTGGAGCTGTCTGGGGAAGGCAGCCTGACGGGCGCTCTCGGCACATCCTTCCCAGGCAGGACCACATCCATGTCAGAAATGGAGATGTCCACTACCTGCCAGGAATACAAGAGCACCTCGACCACTGCTGTGACATTCTCTGACTCCTCACTGCTAAGGACACAGTCCTCAGACTTGGGGGACAACAGGGAAGACCTAAACCTGAGCCACAGCCCTAGAAAATCCAAATATGCCCAGGGCCAGAGCTGGAGGCCCAGCGGGACCGAGGCCACCCAGAGCCGGAGGCCCGGTGGGACCAAGGCCGCCCAGAGCCAGAGGCCCGGTGGGACCAAGGCCGCCCAGAGCCAGAGGCCCGGTGGGATCGAGGCCGCCCAGGGCCCCAGGCAAAAGTTCAACAAGACTAAAGCCACCCAGGGCTCAAAGCAGAGGTTCAGAAAGGCCAAGGGTGCCTATGGCTGGAACTGGGGATTCAGAAAGGCTGATGCCACACAGGACCAGAGCTGGGGACTGATCCAAAGTTCCAGCAAGACCAAGACTTTCTATGACCGAAGTTGGAGCCCCTGCAACACTGAGGTCACCCAAGGCCAGGGCCAGAGCCAGAGGTCCAGCAAGTCCAAGGCTTCCCAGAGCTGGAGCCCAGAGCGTGAACCCAGGCTCCAGCAAGACCAAGGTCAACTGGGGACTGAGCCCAAGTCTCAGCAATACCCAGGCCACCCAGGGCCTGAAATAGAACCCCAGCCCTAGCAGTCACCCTGCTCTCCGAAGGGACCACTCAGCCCCCTCTCTTCTTGCCAGGGATTGGAGAGAGTCTGACCCCCGCAACACACTGGCACTCAGCAAAGCAGCCTCCTTCCAGAGCAGTGAGAACTCAGCCAAAGTTCCTCTGGTCCCATGGCTGAATTTATTGTATTTGTTCTCTTCTTTTACAAAATAAAAAATTTGAAAAGCCAAGCCCAAGTGGCAGCTTGAGTCCCTCTATTCCTGGAGACAGAAGTCTCAGCCTGGCTTTACAGTACTGGGCCACAGGGTGTGGGATGGAAGGGTGGGGTGTGGTGCCGGAACAAGGGCTGAGAGTAACCAACCGAAGGGGGGAGCAGGCACCAGCCACCATCCCTGAGTTATAATTCACATTTTAAGAAGGCTCAGGCTGGAGGGTGAGCTCAAGGCTCATTGAAGTTCTGCGGTGACCAGTGGTCTCCCTGAGGAAGGAAGCAAAAGCCAAAATGCTCTCTGCTAAGTGGCTGGGGCCTGCCTGGGCCTTCCGTCTCATGGCCTGGGCAACACCCCTCCTCAAGTTCACATTGTGCTCTGGGTCCCACTCTCCAGGAGGCTCAGGGCAGGGACCTCTGGCAGAGGCCTCAGGGCTTTCCTGCATGGCCTGGTCAGGTAGAGGAGGATAAGGAAGCCACCTGGAGAGTCAGAGGAAGAAGGCAATTCGGGAAGCCACAGTCTTGCAGCCATTGGAGGAAAAGAGCTGCTCCTCCTCAGGGAAGAAGGTGGTGCTGTCCAGCACAGCCTGGACAACGTCATCCCTTGGCTCCAGGCCCAGCTGGGCCAGCTCATTCAGAACACAGTGCCGCACATGGTGCCGCTGGAGCGGTAGGAAGGGCACCAAGGCGTCCAGGAGATGCTCTTCCATGATTCCCGAGCGCCAGAAGCCATCTGCAGGAAGGAGGGATGGGAAGAGGCTGTGCTTCACCTGGACGAGCTGGGTCCTCATCCCCAGCGGAAGGAAGTGCGGGCACTGGTCTTAATCCTCTCAGCCACCTTCCAGGTGTTGGGCTCAGGGAGTCTGTCTGACTACCCTGAGCGCCAAAGCCTGAGCTGGGAAGTACTGGGTCACTGGGCAGAGTACCAGACCCGGGGAAACCTGGCCCACCCTGCGTTGCCCAGGCTATCCCTGGGCATGATCTGGGTGTGAGGCCCCAGTCTGGAAGCCACCCAGGGCTGGGGTCCTCGGCTGAACTCACGGTGCGGGTTGTCCAGCACTGCCTGGGAGATGACCGGCTCCAGCTCCTGCAGCCGGATCTCCTCGCGGTCCCGGCGGCTGCGCCATGCCTCCAACACCACCTGGTTGATCTGCTCACCACCAGTGTTGCTAAAACCGGGGGGGGGGGGGCATAGGCTGAGACTCAGACAGGGAGGGCAGGATTTAGCCCTTGCTTCCCACGTGCCATCTCACATGACCTGAGCCTGGGGACCCAACCCAGTACCAGCAGGAGCCAAACTCACTGAAAACACCACAGGAACCACTTCCCTTCTCTGGAGCTTGTATCCATAACCATGACCCCTAGAAATCTACCTATAGGTGCCATGCACTTCACTGATTATAGAACACTTCTACGTCCCTTAACTGACTTTCCCTCACCTAGCCTCTAGGAGGACACTGGGGCATTAGGATTGGCCCTGCTGTTCAGAGGGGGAGGTAGGAACTCAGAGATGTGAAGTGGTTTGTCTGAGGAAACACAGCTGGGACTCTTAGAGGTGGGACTTGAACTCTAGTCCTGTTTTTCCCAGGCCTGTGTTCTCTTGGCCACAAGAGGGAAAAACTCTGAACCCAGCAGGGGTTCCACAAAGAAACGAGGATCTAGAAGACTGAGCCCAGAACTGGCTTTGAGAATATCAAAGGGAAGTCACCTACCTCAAGTGACAGTGTCACCAGCTAGAGTGTGGGGGACTCTGGGAAGGCCCCAGTGGTCCCAGGGGGAACAGTATTCTGTGGGACCGCAGGCCAAGCCTGGGTAGCTGAGCCCTCTGACACGGGTCCCCGCGCCACGCCCACTGCAAAGCCGGCCCTACCTGATGAAGATGAAGATGGCTTTGCGATAGTTGGTCCCATACACAACCCAGGAGGAGCCCAGGAAAGGTCGCAGGACCTCTATCAAGCCTGGGGCCAGCTTGTCCATCTCATCAAAGAGGAAGAGCGAGCGGCTGCAGGCAGTGAGGTTCCCCTGGACCCAGCTCTTGAGATCCTTCTGTGAGGGAGATGCAGGAGTATGAGGGGGTCTGGAGATACTCCCCCAACCCCAGACGTCTTCCCAAGGCAAGAACAAATCTCCTTCCCAGGAAGACGGGGTCTCCCAGAGAGCACTAATCCCTTAATGGGACTCATGGTGAAACTATGGCCCAGAACGGGGTGGAGACTTGTCCAAGCTCACACAAGCCTGCAGGAGAACAGGACTCAGACCCAGGCCCTGCACCTGCCTGTTCAGGGCTCCTTCCCTGACACCTACCACTTTCTAGAAAAAGAGAAGCCTCCTTCCTGCTCCCTGAATCTTCCCAACAGTGTTGACAGCTGAAACATATCAGCCTGGAAGGTACTTTGCAATTAACTACAACAGTAGTAGTAAGAGCTGACATTTCCTGACTGCTTGCTCTGAGCCTCAAATTGGGGCTAAGTGCTTTACAGAGAGATTATGCAGACTGTCTGGCATAGGTAAGTGCTCCATAAATAATAATACTTGCAATTATATAATTCCATGCCCCTCACAACAACACTGGCAGGTGGGTACCATTACTGCCCCCCCAGGAATTAAAGCAAGAACTCCCTGCCAGGTAGAGTAGATCATCTCAAGCTCTGTTCAGGATGGGTCCAGAGGGCTGAGGCTCCAAGTGGCTGTGTGGCCTAGAGCAAGTAAGTGATTCCCCTCTCTAGGCTCAGGACTCCCTCCCTCCCTAAGGTCTGGCACCCCACATTGCAGATGGATGGTGGTCCAGGATGCAACCAGCCTACCTTGTAGCGCTCCATTTGGCTGGGGTGGGGGAAGTGGATGAGTGGGGAAAAGTGGTGCACATGGGGGCTGCGGAGGCCACCCCGGAAGAGGTAGTGTGCCAGCAGGGAGCTGACAAAGGATTTGCCCGTGCCTGTCCAGCCATGCAGGGAGAGGACCAGCGGCTTGGTGGGAGCAGGGTCCTGCACAAAGGTCTTCAGCGCCTTCACCACCAGTGCTCTGGCCAAGTGCTGGCCAGCCAGGTGCTGGGCCAGGTCACACTCAAGTCCTAGGACCACAAGAAGGACAAGGTCAGAGCTGAGGACATAACCGCAGAAAAGGTTCAGGAGGAGAGTCGTGTCTGGAAGCTGGTCTAGGATCCTTGTGTTCTGGGATGTTTTTACAAGCTGCCTATGTGGCCCTTGAAGTCTCTGTCGCAGGAGCCACCCTCAGGCCTGACTCAGCTCGGCAGCGCCCCCACCAGGTGGCCCTCTGGATTGCGCTCAGCCCTAAATGGCTGCGAATTGTCAAGAGGGTCTGTCCCAGACCTCTGCCCATCCCCAAGTCAGGCTTTTCCCTTGACGGCCAGTCCAGTGTGAAGGCCTAAGCTTCCCGGCAAAGCCCTGCTGTCAAAGGCCTCTCTCCATCCTAGCAGGGTTCTGCCTGGATCCCAAACAGGCATCCTCAAACCCTCGTCCCAAGTCCTGTGCCCCAGGCTCTCAGGGTCCCTCAACACCGGGCCCCACTTCCGCCCCTGGCTGTCCCGAAGCCTGGGAGCCCCGCCCCTCGGTTCTATCCTCCAGGTCCTGCCCCAGCGCAACCCTGGGGTCCGAGGGCTCCCTGGTCCTCCGGCCCCTCAGGTCTGGGCTCCCGCAGCTCCTCACCCTGGAAATCGGGCCGGAAGTCACATTCGCAGAAGGAGCCAAAGTTGCAGCGCAACGATGTCAGGTCCCAGACGGCGGCCGCGGCCGAAACCAGCCCGAGCAGCCCGAGGAGCGAGCCCCAGGGCCGGCAGCCGCACGTCGCGGCAGCCATCCGGGTGAGGCCGGAGCTGGGTCTGGGGCCGCCAACCGCCTCTCCCCAGAACTACAACTCCCGGCGTGCATCACTCCACGGCAACCACAGCCAGTGGCCTACAACTCCCGGCTCCCCTCTCGCCCTACTCAAAGGCCCGCCCCCGTCGTCCCACTGCAGGAACGGAAGATGGCCTCCAGGGGGAGCCCGCGAACCATCCAACCAAAAACTGCAGGCTGCGTTTCCATGGCCACGGTAACTAAGGGACCATCACAGTAGCTCTACAGAATAAAGGATTATGACCACAAAGGGTGACGTAATAATTGTAACAAAAACTTCTGCAGCACCTCATACCTTGTAAAGCGCCCTTTCCATGATCTTTTTTTCCCTTTTGCATGATAAAAGAGCGCTATAGCTTTTGGTGAGCACCTATGTGCAGATGGTGTTAGGTGCCTTATGTTTCTTATAATATGATAACAGTACCTGTCATACAGAGGAATGGTGATATTTCAGTGAGGTACAGGCACATGAAGTGTTTTGGCTCACAAAGTAATCAATAAATGATCATTGACAATCCATCATGAAACATGGCTGTCCCTTACCTAGCAGCTACTGTATGCTAAATGCTGTAACATCAGCCCTAAGGGATCAGTTCCATTATTGTCCCCATTTTATTGAGAAGGAAACTGGGACCCAAGAGGTTAAGCCCCTTATCCAAGGCCACCCAGCTAGTGAACAATAGAACTGAACCCAAGTCTGGCTGCTGTCCCAGATCTGAGGCACTGTGTTATCCAGCCTTTCTTGGTCAAAGGATTCATAAGGCAAAGAGCCCCAGACGTTTCAAATTCAGTGAACAGGCCCCATCCTGGTCTGGAATCTTGCTGATCCACATTGCCCACCCCCCCAACCCGTGATATCAAGAGAACTGCTGGGAGAGGGAGGGTATAGCTTAGTGGTAGAGTGCATGCCTAGCATGCATGAGGTCCTGGGTTCAATCTGCAGTACCTCTATTAAAAATAAATAAATAAACCTAATTATGTCCCCCAAAACAAACAAACAAAAAAAGCCAACTGCCTTCATGGCCCTCCTCAAAGATCCCCTGCCCCTCCCCCACAAACACACACACAATCACACACACAACACTTCTGGGGCTTCAAAACCTGAAAAGAAATGAGTTGTTCCCACCACTGAGTCGACAAAAGGAAAGAACTCCAGGTCAGCACACCCAGGTTCCAGTCTTCCCCATTCTGCTGCTGTGACCCAGGGAAAGACCCTTATCCGTCCAGTTCCCGGTTCTCCTGAGGGGAGCTGGAATCTTAGATCTCAAAAAGCTCTTCTACCCCAAACATTTGGGGTCTTTAGTTGTGCATTTGTGGGAACCTTTGCTGCAGCTCCCAGAGGCAGGGAATGGAGTAGAAGTTGGGGTGGGTCAGTATCTCTCCTACTGGTTGGAATTATCTGTTTATCTTTGAGCTTCCCCAGGACAGGGACTTGGTTTTAGTGTTGGCTGTAACTCTGGCACCTGGCACAATCTGGAATGCGTCTGGTGCTAAATAAGTATTTGTTGAATGAATTTTTCTACCTTTCACTTGATAAAAGATGCTTCCTTCCACCCCAGGGTCCCCGGAGAGACAGAACAAAGAGTCATAAAAGTTTTTTATATGAAAGAAAGAACATGGCTTCTGTACATCTATTTACAGAACAGATAGATGTATTTACAGCCAGAGGGAGGCCTCGGTGTCAGTGGGGGGCAGATGCCTGGAGAAGAGTGAGGAGGTGTGGGAAGCCTCCTGCGGCTCAAACGCAGGGCCCCCCAGCAAGAAGGGGAGAAGCAGGAGCTGGAGGGAGAAACAGAGGTTCCAGTTCTTCCTGAAGGGAAACTGGGTGAGCGTGTGGCAGGTGGGATGGAGCCCAGGGTCCACGGAGGATCCTGGAGGTGCAAGGGAGATTCTGGAGTTGAACCCAGAACATTCTTGGGCTGATCACAGTGTCCCTGGGGTGCTCTGGGGAAAGGTCTGTGCCCTTCTGTCCCGTTGCTGCCTGCAGCTGCAGAAGGGAAGGGTCCAGGGGGGTCACAGCTCGCTGGAGCGCACGGCAGGCTCCAGTTTGTGGGACAGGGCGGTGAGGACCTTCTCGAACTTCTCATAGCGCCAGGCCTGGCTGCTGCTGGCTCCCTGACTGCCCCACAGTAGACGCATCTGGAACTCAGTGCTGAACACCTCGAGGAGCTCCGGCCGGGCCTGGAACCCTGCAGGGTGGGGTACAGGGGTCAGAAGATCACCATCCAGCTGAGGAGGCTGGGGCTCCTGCCTGGAGCCACTACATCCCTCAGGACCTCATTCCAAGAAGAGCGCCCCCCACTTCCCCCAGGGATCCAACAAGGTTTGTCGATGAACATGACCATGCAGCTTAGCACCTAGTCTCTGTCCTACTATTTACAACATATAAAGATAAAAATATTGCTAATTTAGGGGGAGATCTTGGGTGATTTTCCTTTTCTTTTCTGTATATTTCTGTTTCAAGATTTTTTCTAAGAAATGTAAATATATTTTGTAAGTGTATGTAAAAAAAAAGCTTTTTTGTTCTTTCTGAAAAAGAAAAAGTCACACACTGGAATGCTCATCACAGAATTCACCTCCAGATAATTGTTGGTGATTTTTTTAATCTTGTTTTTGCTCAGCTGTAACTAATAATTTGTCTACAGTGAACTTTTACGACATAAATATTTCCCAAATAATTTAAAGGTGGATTGTCTGAAGCCACTCCGTCCTTTCATGAGAGGGAGTTTACCTTTCAACTACACTGTGAGCTCCCTAAAGGCAGGGCAGGTCGGCCTCAGCCCCAGGAACCCAGGCTGAGCATTTTGCAAACAACCTGCTAAAGCAGACCTGCCAGGATGTCCACTTCACAGATGAGAAAGCTGAGGCTCAGAGAAGCTAAGATACATAGCTGTGGTGCTCTTTGAATCACCTGTGTCCCTCCCACCTAACCTGGTGCCTGCCACTAACAATTCCTTGTCGTTTGAGTAAAGAAAAGGGTGAGAAAAAGAAGTCAGGGGGATGGGGCAGGAAAGAGGGATGGATAAATGTGAATGGACATTTGGACAAAAGGGAAGAGCAGGTCATGAGGAGGGAGGCCTCAGATGCAACCTAGGACTCACCCTGCAGCTTGACCTCCGCGTTGGTGTGATACAGGCCACCGTGGTGTGCCACCGTGCGGGCAGCCTCCAGGTGGGCCAGCACCACCTCCACACCGTGCTCTGTGCTGCCCCAGGGCTCGGGGCCCTCAGCCGGGGCTGAGTCACACTCCAGCAGAGTGATGAGAGGCAGGACATGAGGAAACGTGGTGTTGCTCAGCGGCGGGCCTTCTGCAGGGAGGGAGATGTGGCGCTCAGAGGTCCCGGAGGGCCCCACTGTCCACTGCGGTCCCAGGAACTGAGGATGTGTTAGGGGAAGGGCCCTGCTCGAGGTCCCTGAGGGAGCTCCTGGGGCTCCCGACTCCTGAGAGAAATCCTTCAGATTCCTCCAGCTAAACCCACTGCAGCTTCAGCCCAGCATGGGGGCTGAGCCTGGACCTGGACAGGGCATCACAGTTGCCAGGTGCAGAAAGTGAGCGCAAGGAAAACAGGCTGCGCAGAACTTAGGGACGCTCCCGTCATCCTCCACACTGGGAGAGTCTTGGCCGGCCCAGAGAGGGCTGGGACCTGTCCAAGTTCACACAGCAAGGTGGGGGACGTACCTTTGCCCTCATTGAGGCTCTTGAGAAATGGCTTGAGCTTCTTCTCGTAGAGGATGGCACCCTCCGTGTGTCGCTGCCGCAGGGTCACCCATGTCTGCTCCAGACGGGCAATCTGGGGAGACCAGACTGTGTGAGTGAGCAGCCAGGGAAGAGACCTCCTGGGGCCACAGGCCACTCTGCTGAGTAGACACCCAGATGTGGGGTAATAGTTATTAGTATGGTCACCATTCATAGATCAGGGACAGTACTGACTGCTTTTCATGTGCCTCCCATGAAGCCCTCACAACAACCCACTTTACAGATGAGGGAACTGAGGCTCAGAGAGGGGAATGACTTGCCAAAGTTCACTCCAAAAGTAAGTGGCAGAGCTGAGAGTTGAACCACTGCCTCTAGGACCCTGTTGTTACGATTGATGAGCCAAAGGAGGGGAAGTATAGTGTGGATGAGGTTCAGGCTTTGAACTTAGACAGACCTGGTTTGAATCTCAGCTTCTTCAGTCTCTGGCTGTGTGCCCTTAGGCAAGTACTGCTCTGCCTCAGTTTCTCCATCAGTGAAATGGGGACAATAAAGGTACCTTATGAGATTGCCGAGGAATCAGTGCTTCTAATGTACTCAGGGTAGCACCTAGCATATAGTCAGTGCTTGCTAAATGATAACCATTTTATATTTACTCTTTAAAGTCCTCATTCATGAATGCTCCTCATTCATTTTACAGGTGGAAAAACAGAGACAAGGGAAAGTGCAAGACTTGGTCTGGGAGTAGGTCAGTACTTAAAGGACTCAGTTCTCCCAATTACCCTTTCACCAGTGCTGCTTAGAAAGTTACAATGTTCTTCCAAGAAACACATCCCAGGGCTCCTCCAGACAGAGACTACCTGATGCCCGGCTCCGCGTGAGCCCCTCAGTACCTGGACCATATCCAGGGCGCCCATGACTGCAGCGAAGCTGAACATGTTGCCCATGGTCCCCCGAAGCTCGGCCGCCAGCTGGATGGTCTTGTGCAGAAGCGCTGCCCGCTCCTCAGCAGAGCCCGTGCAGCCCAGGATGTCCACGGCCAACATGATGGACATGGTGTGGAACCTGTCGGAGCGACGAGGTCAGAGGGGCGGGGCCAAGGACCCAGGGTGGGGGTCCTTGTGGTTGGGCGCCGAGAGGTGGCGGGCGGAACCTAAAGTGCGGTTAGGGGGCGTGGCCAAAGTGGGGGGCAAGATTAAGGCTTGTGATTGGCCGGTCTAAGTTAGGGGCGGGGCCAGAGGTCCTGGAGCGCCAGCCTGAGGCGCTTGTGGCCGGTCAGTGGAAATCAACCCGCAGAGCTGTTTTAAGAAAGGAGATAAGCCAGAGTTGATGGACGGGCCAAGGCTCACGGATTGTGATCGGCCAAGAGGATACAAAAGGTGAATTACAGATAAAGGACTCCATTTTTGGAAACTAAGATTACTTTGAGTTGTATATAAAGAAGTAGCGATTGGTCAATGGGATAGGGGGGTGGCCAGAACCCCTGGAAACTGCGGTGAGAAACTGTGATTGGCCAATCGGCCACAACAAGGTAGCCCTGGGGGTTCCCCGTGAGTCCCACTGAGTCCCCGTGAGTCCCCGTGGGTGCTTGCTTTACCTTTCCAGCAGGTCTAGTCGTAGCTGCCGGCCATGGGGGAGAGTGAGCAGCTCCATGCCCCAGCGGACTCCCATTAGGGTCTGCATCTCCTTGGTAACGCCCAGTATCCTAGCAACCTACAAGGACGCCCAGAGGGCTGATTAATTTCCTGTCATGGCTGGCCCAAGCCGTCTGGGAGTCAGAGAGCTTTATCTAGGAGGGCAGCCTGGCTGGGAGGCCGAGTTTGAATTCCAGCTCTACTGCTAACCTTCGACATGGAGCAAATGAGCCTCAATTCTCACCATCTGTGAAAAGCAGGATAAAAGGGGAAATGCCCAGAGGTGTCTGTGCCAGAGGTACCCAGGACACCCTTATTCCAGAGGGAAAACCTGAGGCTCAGGGGAGAAAAGGGCTTGTCCAAGGTCACACACCAGCCTAGAACCCAGTGCTGCTCCCTTCAAGCCTAGCACTCTTCACAGAGCAACATCTCTGCACTTTCTTTTCTTGTTTCCTGAGCTTGTAGACCACTGCGAACAAGTAATCACTGTGCCCCCGCCTCTCGCCCTAAACTTCAGAGGGAGAAACAGAAGTAGAGCAAGTCAGGGTCTTTAGATGGTCAAGATTCATTCAAAGCAAGGGCCCAGACATGAACAATTTATGGGCCTAGACAATGAGTTTTGTCCACTTGGGGGCAGGAGGGGAAGGCAGGGAGTAGATCCTTTCATATTCCTTGGATCAGCCGGGCTGACTCTCACTAGGCTCAAAAAGTGACTCAGGGAGCCAGACAGCACTGGCTTTTGGGACTCCCCAGTTCCGGTGCCAAACTGACATCTGGAGGAAGAAAGAACATCTCAGTTTGGGGGTCTTTTTAAGGAAAAAAATGGAGGCCCAGAGATGTAAAGTGATTACTCAGAGTCACACAGCAAGTGAAGAACAGCCATGAAGCCAGAATCCAGGCCCACTAGCTATACTTGGGCATTTAGGGGCCAGCTCCTCACTACCCGGACCCCTGTCCCAAAGCCAGAGGACAAAAGTGCTGCCCCTGCCCCAGTGCACACCCAGCACCTACCAGGCAGTCAACCTTGGTGACATGCCGGGCCAGTGTCCGTGCATCAACCTCTGCCAGCAGCTCCTTGACCTTACGCAGGAGGCCCACCTCCAGTGGCCGGTTATCCTTGGGGATCAGAAGTGACTGGAAGGTAGATGGGTTGAAGGAAGAAGTGGCTTCCACAATTGGGACTGTGAAGGTCCTTCCCCAGTCCCCCTCGGGGGCCCCATTTTCTGACAGTTCTTTTAGCTTCTCCCCATAGCTCCTGGCCTGCCGGCTGGAGGTCTCAGCTGCTGCCCACTCGCGGCTGCCACGGACAGGAGGCTGGAGCTGACAGTAATGGCCAGAGTCCGGGTCGCTGTAGCTGCTGAGTGACGGTGATGGGGAGGCTTTGCAGAGGGTGTGGGAGGGGCTGGTGTAAGGACCCTTGTCCGACTCCCCAAGGGGCTTTGTGGCACTTCCGGGACACAGCTGGGGTTCACTGGAGCGGCGGATGACAGGGGAGGCAGGCAGTGCTGTGGCCGAGGCGGCTGCAGGGGCGGCGTGGACACGGGTCACTGCAGGGAGATAAAGGGAGAGGACTAGTTACCATGACTTCTGACCCAGTGAGTTTCCCCCATGCCCTTCCCAAAGGACAGGCTCCATCCACCCTACAGGGTGATCCCCACCTCCCTGCACCCAGGCCCAGCCCAACAGACTCTGGCATACTGACCAGCCCTCAGCGATGCCCCGAAATCACCTGGACCCCAGGAGTACCACACTCCTATCCTAAGGCTGCTACAGCCTTAGGGAACTACTGAATTACTTATAGGAGCTTTCTGTGATTCAGGACAGCTAAGGACTTGCTGGAGTTCATTGTGCAGAATTATGTCTCAGTGAATTAGTAATAATGATTTATTGAGTACCTGTGTTCTGGGAGTTGGTGACATGTGGAGGTACACTGGTCAAAACAGTAAAACCATTATCCAAAATTAGAGGTGATGTTTGTTGAGCTCTTACTGCCTGCAAGATCCTTCTTTGCACAGTAGTTCATTTAAGGCTCTCAACATCCCACAAGGACTTTTATGGTCCCCGTTCCACAGAAAACTGAGGCTCAGAGAAACCAACTGACCTTCCCAAGGTCACCCAGCCAGCAAGTGGTAGAGCTGGGATTTAAAACCAGGTGTTAAGTCCTCACTCCTGGGTACTTCACTATGCCACATTGCTTAGAAATTGTCCAATAAATAATCTGTGGCAAGGCATTTTAACATTTACACTGAGAGGTGTTGTTTTGAAGGCAAATTGGCAATTATGACAAGCTGCCAGGCCCGTGTTTAGAGAAGAATTTGTGACAACCCATATAGATAGAAATATTGCAGCAGAGCGTCTCCCAGTGAAGTTTCCTCCGGGGCTGCCGCTCTGTCTGCACACCTTGCCTGCCATGTGGACAATATGCAGTATGGCCTATTGAAAATATTACTTTTTTTTCTTCCAGAAATGAACTAGTGGCATATTTCTACAACAGAAATTTTCTTTGTATTTAAAAAAAGCACAGTGCTGTCTGCTCAATTTTGCTATGAATCTAGAACTCTGGGGGGAAAAAGTCTATTTAATAGAGAAAATAAAAGCAATCATGACTAGCCTGGTTTGAGCCCACCATTTGGAATCAGGGATGCATTAAGTCCCAGCCAATGCAAGGCCTGGCGGAGCACCCCACACACGGCAGGCGCTCGACCAGTGGGGGCTGAGTGTTGCTGACTGCATGTACTTCACATCATTGAAGCCCAGATTCAATAACACAGTGAGCTTCTAGCAGACTTGCTGCATTCAGGAGAATGCACTGGAAATGACAGTGCCTGGTACCCAATAGGGACTCAAATAATCACTGTGGAATGAACAAGCCATAGATATGTTTTGTATGTCAATGTCAGTAGTTCCACTAGCAAGTTTTTAGCGTAAACTCTTGCAGGGCATTGCTCTCAGAAAAAAGGTAGAAAAACACATGATCACACACTATAACAGAATTCATCAGACAGCACATGCATGCGCACACAAGATCCCTCCCACCAGATCCCTCCACCTGCCCCGACCCCACTGCTGGCCATACCGGTACTATAGGCAGGAGAGCTGGGGTTCTCGGAGATGGGGGACATGGGCGAGTGCAGGTCTGGGATCTGGTCCATGCTGAGTGCACAGTTGCGGATGGATTCCCGGGGGTGGGGCAGTGATGTGCTGTGGAGTAGACACCTTCATGAGCAGACAGCCCAGAGGTCAGGGTCCTCAGCCAGCATTAGGACCCCCACCTCTGTCTCCAACCTAGATGTGCTGAACTTCAGAGGTCTGGAGGTTATCAAGTCCAACCTCCCAATTGACAGGTACAAAATCTGAAGCCCAGAGGAGGAAGGGCTTGTGCAGTCCACAACCTGCACAACTGATCTCTTCCCTGGGAATCTTGCCCCCAACTTAGAGAACAGTCTGGGGAGAAGGGCTCAGGAGCCAAGCCCATCAGCCTGGCCGCTTACCACTGCTCCCACACTATACTCAGGATGCCTCAGGTGCACATGGCCTGTGGATCCTGGCACCATTATAATCACTGGTTCCAAACCACAGGCCAAGTGGCAACTCCCCACAGGGTATCCAACCAGCAATTCCTTGCCTAGCAGCATCCAGGGAGATGGGACCTATCCAAGTGTTGATGGTACAGGATGGCAGGTCTCAACTGCAAGCAGCCAGGAAAGCCATAGAAATTAGGGGCACAGGCTTTAGAGTTGCAGACCTGGGTCTGACTCTTGGTCCTACCACTCTTTAGCAAGCAGCTACTCCTTTCCAAGCCTATTTCCTCATCTAGAAAGTGGGGGTATGGACAGGAGCCACCTCCTAGGGAGACAAGGGAGTCAATGAGGTTGGGCACAGAGAGTGTGCAGGAGAGGGCCAGGTGCACGGTAGGGCCTCAGGAATGATTTGCTGCTGTGGCTTTTCCTGGGCTCAGGGCCTGGTCTCACCCAACCCAGAGGCAATTGAGTATCATCAAAAATGTCACTGAGAACATTCCATTCATTGTTTGCACACTGCAAAGCCCTCTGCTCTGATGCCCACCTTGGTCTAGTTAGGTGGGGTAGGGAGGGGTAACCTTGACAGCAGGGAGCAGACCCCTGCCTGGGACAGGACAGCACTCAGGGCTCCCCCTAGGTCAGAGGGGGATTTTGGAGTGAGTTATAGGTAGGAACACAGAGGCAAGAGAGGAACAGTGGCAGGGCCAAGGGCACACAGCTGGTTGGAGCAGAGCTGGGACTGCAGCCTGTGTTCCAGATCTCCACTCAGTACAGCCTGGGCTGCCTCCTGTTCTTCCCCGCAAACTGAGGCTCCAGGTCACTTCACCCAGACCCGTGTGACTGGGCCTCCCCTTTCTTACCAGTACTTACATTACAGACCCCCTCACTGACAAACGGGGAGACTGAGGCCTAGTGTGGGTTCTCACTCACCTGGTGGGGCAGCCATCGCTGCGGGTGACCTTATCAGCGGTGAGCCCGTCGGTCATGGTGACGCTGCGCCGTTTCATGTGGCTGCCTTTGGGGCCCGAGGGGCTGGCAGGGCTGGCAGCCTTGCTACCGCCCTGGCCCAGGCCATAGCAGGCCTCCAGGTAGCGTAGCGGGAAGGTGCGGTTGACTGGGCAGTAGATGATGGCGCCACTCTGCTCCGACACAGCCTTGCGGCTGCCCACATGATACCGCACAAGGGCAGGTACGTGGTCAAAGCTCTCCTGCTCGAACAGGTACTGGATGTGGGTGTAGCTCTCACCCGCCTTCACCACCACCTTGTTGATCTTGAAGTGCAAGGCCTGGTTGCGCCAGCGGCATGTGAGCACGTAGTCACCCAGGCTGGTGAGCGAGTCCCGGATGAGGAAGTCACCATTGCGCTGCACCAGGGTCTCTGAGACCTGTGGGAGGCAATGGTCAGGCTGGAGCAGGGCAGGGACAGGATAGGGCCAGACCAGGATCTGGGGGACACAGTGAATAGAGATATCTGAAGCTTGGGAGGTGGGCACAGATTCAGAGGGTGCAACTCAGCCAGAAGCCAGGGGTCTGGGGCACAGAGACTCAGACATGGGAGGACATAACGCCCTGGAACAGGAGTCACCATGATCTGAAGCTCAGGCCTCAGACTTACTCCTTCTCAGGGCTCACACTGAGCAGAGTGAATTTGAATTTTCATTCCTCCAGACAATGCTCTGGTGCATCTCAAGGCCTTTGTAAACTCAAGCTACTTTCTCTGCTAGAACATCCTAGACCCTGCCCTTCTCGTGAATGGCTATCCATCTCACAAAGGCCTCTCTCCCTGCCAGGCACTCCTTTCTTGCACTTCTCCCACTGGGCTCTGACTGTCTGCTTGCGTGTCAACTCCCATCCTGGACTACCAGCCCTCAAGTAGCCTAAGAACTGATACTCACTAACCAAACACACAAGAGGCTGATGTATAGACCCCATACAATAACAGTAAAAAAATAGTAGTAATAACAACAACCACAAAGGACAATGTTCATTGAGCTTTGCATGTCAGACATCATGTCAGGCACCTTACACACATTATTTCATTTAATTCCCACAACCAATCTTTAAAGTAGGTACTATTATTTCCTCCATTTTATAGATGAGGAAACTGAGGCTCAGAGGTGAAGTGACTTGTTGAAGGTCACACAGACAGTAAATGGCAGAATCAGACCTCATCGCAGTCCACTACAATTGAGCCCACCAAACAATAGTCAGAGCCTCTCTAGGCTGGGACTGACTGAGGTGGTGGGTGAAAGGGTCTAGGGCTGAGGGTCCAGTTCAGAGCCTGCTCACCTCACGGGGGATGCGGCCATGGTACCAGGCATGGCTGCGGAGATCTGTGCTGCTGAGTTTGAGCTCTTCCTCCAATTCCTTGTGCAATTTCTCAGGCGATGAGTCCAGAATGTACTTCTCTTTGGAGAACTGGGCAGGAGACAGCAAAAGTTAGCATCCAATCTGAAGCCCCTTCCTCCTTCTTTCCCAACCTCCCCCACCCCAAGTGAAGTCCTTCTATCCTGGAATCCTGGGAACACTTATGCACAGATGCAAGAAAGGTCCTCACCCATGAGTCCCTATCCCAGCAGGAGTAAAGGAATCTCAGTTAAATCCACCAAAAGGTACCTACTGTGTGCCAAGGGTAAATAAGGCAAAAAATAAACCTGTCCTCAAGGAAGTTCCTAATCTAAGAGAGGAGGCAAAAGCAACATGAGTTTTTGAGCAGACTGCGGTCAGCACCACAGTAATGGACAGCGGCAAAAACTGGGTGGCTTTTCCAAAGGGAGATGAAGTCTAGGCCAGGTGGAGTGGTCCAGGAAGGCTTCCTGGAAGAGATGACAATCACAAACACTAATTATGCACCAAGGACATCACACTGATCTTGAAGTAGGGAGAGGGAGGATTTCTACAGGTGGATAAGGCAGCAGGTATTGAGGCAAAATCACAGGCAAAAATGGCTGGATGGATGAGGATACATTCTGGGACAGTGAATTATACAAGGGTGGAGGAGGCAGCTATAAACAGGGAAGCAGAGGCCCCCACACAGACATCTGTGATATCCTTTACAATTCCCAAGACCCCTTCTTCCCTGTCATCTCAAGAAGTCCTTGCTAGATGGGGAAACTGTGGCCCAGCAGGAAAGCCAAGGTCACTCACTGGAGATAATGCCCAGGACTCCCCTCTTCTACCTGCCTAGGGGGGAGATTCCTGGTTTCCCAGTTACTGTGGCCTGGATTTGGAGGCCTAAGAACAGGAGGAGAGGAGTTCTTGCTGCCAGGCGCACCCCTACCACAGAGCCCAGCCCAGCCCAGCCAATCCTGGCTGTGTCATGTGAATTCTCTGGGCCTCAGTTTCTTCCTCTGTAAAATGGGTACAGTGACAAAACCTGCCTTTCCAGGTTCTAAGGATGAAAGGAGACAATACTCCAGAACACCACTACTAGCCCATAGATGTCCTCATCACTGTGAGGACATGTGACATTGCTTCCTCCCCCTTCTGCCAACTGCAGGCCCCAAAGACAGCTTCTCTAGGACAGAGAGATCTGGCCCAGAACTGGCCAGACAACAGGACAGATGAAGGGAGGGCACTAAAGAGCCTGGCTTCAGTCCAGGTCACAATCTTTCCCCAGGACCTCCTACTCACCAGGGTCCAGGGTCTTCCAGTCCACTCTCTGCCTCTTCTCACTTTCCAAGTTCCTAGAGCCTAACTCTGCAACTCCATTCTCCACTCCTCTGCTCTTCCACTGCCTTGGTTCACCTCAGCCTACACTGCTCCCAAGATACCCTGGTCCCCAACTTCAGAGATATCTAGAATCTCTGACTCCATTATTTCAACATTGACTAAGCCCCCACTCTAGGGCAGGTCCTGTGCCAGGGGCTGAAACCAAGGTCATCATGACAGGTGGCCTCTATCCTGGGGGAGCCATGCAGACACTGACAAGTAATCCCCGGGTTTGGAAATATTCAGAGACACACAGAGAGCTCTAGGAGCAGATGAATGTGTACCCCCTTGTCTAGTCAAGGAATGAAGTCCCTGAAGAGGTGACGTTTCCACTGAGGTCTGATGAAGGACTTGACGAGCAAAGCAAAAGTGTCAGGGTGGGGACAGACAGGTGGGCAGGAGGGCAGGAGGGCAGGAAAGCACTCTGGAAAGAGAGTGGCAAAGTCAGGGCCCTGTGGGCAAAGCCAAGGCCCTAGGGGTGATGAGAAGCTTCAACAGGGGTAGGGGTGGCAGGGGCAGGTGGACAGGGCTGTGAGGCTGCCTTGAGGAGCTGGGGTTTACCCAGAAGACACCGCAGAGCTGCAGGTTATTTAAGTGTTGGGGCAGGTTCGATCTGCTGTGTTTTCCAGGCAATAGCAGGGCAGGGTGGGGCATGGAGATGGGGATTAAGGGAAGAGTGTTTAGACAGCCATTGATCAGGTGTGGGGAAGAGGGCAGAGGGGTCAGAGAGGATTCCAGGTAGAGAGCCTGGGAAGACAGTGAGACACTCTCTGAGGTGGGCAAGGCTGAGGCAGGAGAAGCTTGACAATGTGCCCATAAAAATTGGGGCTTTGAGGAGTCTCCAGGGCTCTGGGGACAGATGGTGGGGGTGGGTGATGTATATGAGTGCTCGGGGAAGGGCAGGGCCTGGGGATGGGAATAATGCATATCCTCTGCCCAAGGTAGAAACCAATACCCTGGAAAGGCAGGGAGGGCCAGGTGAACTGAGATTTGGGCCTTCTCGGATACCTACACTTCTCCATGGGATTCCCTATTCTTCAGGGTCCTGGCCCCTCTCCTATACCACCTGGCACCCTGGGGAGGGAAGAGTGGGAACCACAGGGGAGACTCCTCCTCCTTGACAAAGAGCATGCAATTGAGAAGTTGCCCCAGTCCCACAGCAAGAGGGACAGAGGGCAAAGAAGGAGAGGGGGCTGTGTGGTTAAAAAAAAAAAACCTGGCCCCAAGACTGTGCCTGCCACTGTGTAACCTTGAGCCAGTCACTTTCCCTCTCTGGCCCTGAGTAATCTTATCTGTAAATGGGGGGTGGGAGGTTGGGTTCCACTTTTCCAACCATAGTCAATGGTCAGGGGGAATCTGAAGGGACAAACTTGTACCTTCCACACACCCGAAGTTAGGGAAACCTAGGGTCCGTATGCCCTCCTCTTCACCTTCGACCCCGGGGTCTCTAGCTCCCAAAGTGGGTGGGTGCTGGGGCGCGAATGCAGCATCCCTGCGCTCAGCGCACCGCTATTGGCCAGAGATGATCTCACCGCCTCCCGGCCTGCGAGGGCCTGATTGGCCGGTGCGGGGATGCTGCGCTCCGCTGCCGGCGGGCCGTCATTCAGGCGGGCTCAGAGCGTGTGTGAGACTAGGGGAGCGCAGAGGTGATGCGCCCGGTGTCCCTCAGGAGGCAAAAGCGCGTAGATCCCAGATCAAGGTCTTAACCCCTTTCCACCAGCCCGTGCCCAGCAAGCCCCTTCTACCTCCCTTCAGTCTTGCAACCCTAAGCAAAGCCATCTCCAGATGATGCTCCGCAGAGAGGCGGGGTCCGGGTCCTCCCCTCCACCCCCTTCCGTTTAACCCTTTCATCGCCACCGCTCCGTTCCGCAATGCCTGGCCAGTTGGGCTGGGAGACCCGCGCCCTTGAGCATGCCCAAGCCCACCTATAGGGCAGGAGTTTGGCGGGCGCTCTGGTCCCAGCCTCGGCACCCGCAACATTCCCTCAGCTTCCCGCCCCTCACTCAGCCTTCGGACTCCAGCCCAGCGCCCCTGGTACAATGGGGAGTCAGGCTGCCCGGGTCAGCCGCAGGGGCTAGATTGCTCGCTGGAGAAGGAAGGACGCCGGGGACTCCCATCTCCCAATACCCAATGCCC